TTAAAAATATTATATTATATAACATAAAAATCAGAAGTAGGTAAATCCGTATCAAATATAATTTTATAAAAACTAAACTATGTATTATAACATATTAAATTAAAACAAATTTCATTATGATATGTATAATAGTTAAGACTAAATGCCAAATTAATACATTTTTTTTTCGAATTAAGTTCTGTTAAAAATATATTAACATAATCACTGTTGTATGAGGTTTAGCAAGACTTAAAAATACAATTACTACTGTGTTATGAATATTGTAATTTGAATTCCTTTGATTAAAGTCAACCGGTTTTCTAGGTTACTCTGGAGGTCATAAGTGTTTATATATAGCAATTTAGCTTAACATTAATTAGTCAATATTAATGATTTAACTACCGTATTTTTTTTATCACGACAGGTTGTACCTAATGTTATTGTTTATTAAATACGATTTTTACACGTTTCTCGTGTTAGTCATTTAAAATAATTGTCTATAATATAGTATAGATACATATTATTGTTATTAACATCATTGAGGAAATCAATCCTATCTCGATAACAGACATTTTTGTCATCCAAACTTAAGTGTACAGTATTAGATTCAGATAGGAAGTGTAATGTAAAAAACAATAACCAAAAAGAATATGTTCTAAATTTGATAATGCATAGACGTCCTATGATTATACGTTTTTCTGCAAAATTTTAAAACTGTTGGTTGTTTTTATTAAAAAAACATTAAGCTATAATTTATTATAGTATTACAGTTTTTAAGATTGATTCATACTGAGAAGCACGATTAAAAAAAAAAGGGATCCGAGTACAACCGCCATAAATAAACAGACACACACTTGATCTTAACTTATGGATAGTTTTGGAAAATTGTTAATAACTTGTATTTAAAAAATCACATTTACAGTTGTCTCGTTTATTTATAATTATAAATTGCACCTCCTGATTCTAAGTGAAATTATTTAAAACTAGATTGTTAGTAATAGTAATATGATATTGCTAACTGATCGACGCTTTTGCTTCCATAAAATTAATCTGGATTTATGCATCTAGCTATATTGTTCGTTATTCACTAGTTTCATGGTTCAACCCAAACGGATATGTTTCTGGTCTGGCGTATAATGAAGAACTTACCGTCGTATTATTATTATCTTGACGTGTTAATTATAATCTACAGATGTACATTTATATTTTTGTAAAAAAATAACCATGCTACTGCCTACTGGTTTACGGTTTATATTTTAATAGCTGTACGTGCATAAGTGCACCTAAGAACTGCATTCCATTTGATTAGACCACGGTCTGATGTAATAGTTTGGGTAGCGTCCCTCGGTGGATTACTATTTTTTTTTTTTAATCATCAAAATATGACAGATTCTATTTTCCATATCTTTATGCCATCGCTGTTTTAATGACGAGGACATACGATACAAGTATAAGTTAATTTTAAATTTTTATTTTCAGTGTGTTATTTCATGAAAACGCCCTATTCGGGCGGTACTTTGAATGCAACAAAGTTGTTGTTGTTGAAATTAATACCTAAAAACGAATAAAGAATATTATTTTCGGCACTTTAGTGCATGATAATATTTGTATTCATCATAACTCTTATGTCATAGGAGTATGCTGTTTTATTTATTTAATTTTAATATAATGAACACTAATTCGAATCGAAATGTTACTAAAGTGATGAATATTCAGCCTCAGACTTATGCACGTGCATTTGACCACAAAATGCCTGAAGGTCACGCCGGGTCTATTTATTTATCAACAACTCTATATAGGGCCGGATTAACCAACAAGCTAAAATATAGGGCCCATAACTAACAACAGTAGCAAGATGGTAAAAAATAAAATAAATGCATTTGTATTTGCTTCTATAAATTAATTTAACCGATTTCGGTCGGGTAGATTTTCGATTTTTTTTTTTTATTAAGATTGATTAAATAAGAAAAAATATGTTACGTTGGAAAGGTACTTATTAGATTATTCTTTATCCTTCTTCTTTAAATGAATCTGCTATGCTTGATTAGGTCTAGGGGCCTACAAATGACGTCATTCGGCTTTTAACAGTACTAGACTACAATTTTTTTTTATAAACACATTTAAATGTTTAAAGCGTAAGGGAAAACTGAACCTAACGCAACCTAGCTTTGTGGAGAAATTCGATTTTCTTTGGTTGTGCACTTAGTCCAGACTTCTTTGATTTAGGCTCTGAAATTATTATATCCCAAAAATAATTAAATCTTAAAAACTTGTGACCAATTCAGTTGGCTTTTAATTTTCAAGTCTGAATGTCTACTGATATAACGGGAGCTTCGACTTTGAGTTGCCTGTGCAACTATTAAATATATTTCATAATTATTGTGAGCCTAAAAACGGCAATAGAATACTTCATATTATCGACGATCAAGTTCAAAAACGAAAGAAGAACGGTATTATAATCGACATTTTCGAGTAGACATATTTTTAAAAAAACCGTTATTTTTCGAGACAATCAATCGACATTAAATGATTACCGGAGATGTTATAAACTTTTACCGTTACTGTTATAGTAGACGTCGTTTAACATAATAATATAAAGACTCAAATGTGACGGATTACTTTTTGGATATATGTAACTTTGAACGCGCTGCGCATTAGATTAAAATCAACATAACATAGGTATTACGTGCATAAGAATTGAGTATGACAGACTTCTGTAGGTTTGACAGGTTTTAGACAAAACCATCATGGCCACGCTACGTGTATATTGACAATGTCGGGCACACAAGTGCATTAGGCTGAAGTCGCTTACGGGACGGCTCGTTCTCATTGAATATGTTAATGAAGCATTTTCAAGTTAAATATCTTGTGTTGTGTAAATGTACAATATGCTTAAATTTAAAACTTTGGAGAACAAATTTATCTGCATTGCGATTGGACGCCTATATGATGTAGCATGATGTTATATTAGTCGCACCCAATCAGAAAGTATGCAACACCAGTGAAAATATTTCAATAGCCTCCGCCAACTATCACGGTTGCATAATAATTATTATTCACCGTAATTTCTGTCCAATCCAATGTATTATAATATGTGTGGTCTCATGATGCACATGTAATTTATTATAAAGTAGGTCGACATAGCATAAAATGATGTTTTCAAGGTCGTCGTGTATTTCTCAAATTAATTGTCGATCCGAAAACCGATGAAGTGTTTATTAGAAGAATACATTAGGAAGTAGTATTGTAAATGAAAACTCGAAAATCGAGGGAGTTATACCACGACATAGCGTGTGTATTTATAATATATGCAGTGTGTATAAAAATTCGCGTAACAATCCAAGTCTTTAAGACTCAATTAAAAAATTTAAAAAAACACAAAAATGTAAAATTAATGAATACATAATCAGCTTCGCATCGAAACTAAAACAACATTTGTTTGTCCTAATATTTGACCAAAAAAAATAAAACAATCTGAAGCTATTAAATTTTTACTTGATTTTTTGGACATACTTTATGATAAATAATATTATTATTATAAATTTATATTTGTGATATTTTTAATTAGAGTAAGTAATTAATTAAAATATATTCATGTTACAGTTAGTTAGGCTTTAAATTACTATTTGCACATGAACATCATGGCTATTATGTTAATTAAAAACATACTTTTCTTTTCTTTCACTCGTATTAAATACACATTACTTAAAAAACATTATTATCTTTCACGGAAGAGTGCCGCACTGGGCTCTCTGCCTCTTCTTCGTATATGTGTGTGCGTGTCTGTATGTTCAGTGCATCAAATACATTATCTTAAATTGCATATGAAAAAGTTGCGTCGAGACTCATTTGTCAATGTTCAGTGTTCCTATGGTAAATGTTCATTATATTTAAGTACTATTGACATCCTAACGCTGTATGACAAGAGTTAAGTTTCAATGCAGAGTTAAAAGTAAGAATTGGTTTTACAACCGTGGGTGCAGACCCCTAGGTCATCTTTTTTAGGGGCGATCACTCTCCTCTTGGCATAAATTGTTTTATTGTAAATGTATTTTTTAACTTGATTAAACAAATCATGTTTTTCTTTGATTTTATTAATTTGTTTTTTTTTATTTCATAAAGTTTGCCTTTCTTGTATTAAATTTTGACAAAATATGATTTTTAAAATAATTTTTATAGAAGTTTGATTTTGAAGTACCTACTTGTAAGTAATTATTTTCTAGCGCTTTTTGACATAATTTCTTCTTTCGGCTGGGGTCTATTACAATTTATCGTCAGATTAAGCAAAATCAATGTTTCATGATCCATTGTCTTTCTCAGTAGGAAAAGATTTTTTTTTAATGACTAAAACTCAAAAAATTGTTTATTTCTTTTCTTTCCAACCACTGATCGACCCGATCATCACATTACGTTGACTTTTTGCTCACCTCGATACGCTGACAAATTTATAAAAAAATACATATTTTAATATATAAATATTATAATCATATATATTTATATAGGTATATATATATGTTTTTTTTTATGAAGCGCATATTACCGAACAGGCGGTTGACCCTGTGCTGAGAATATTGTCGTGTTTTTTTCTTTACTCACTAGGCTCCGTAGAAAAAAATATCTTCAATTATTTTATTTTGCTCTGACATTTCCCCCCCCCCCCAATAATTATCAAAATCGTTTGCTCCGACGACTTCGCCATGCAAAACGTCATGTCATTCCAGATAAACCCTTCCAGTACCGGCCTAGTGGTTATAATATATTGTATTCTATAGATATTAACATAATATGGTCGTGTATAGGAGCCGGTACTGTCTCTTATATACATATAATACAATAAGTCAGGCAGACGACCCGCCAATGTCACGTGAAGCGTGCGTTCGACTCGGGTGGAAACGGAGTGGGGTGTGACATTTGAGAGGGGTGGTGTTACTCGTGGCCACGGTAGTGTGTAAGGCACGCGGGAGCGAGTTCCAGGCGATCGAAAGAGAAAACGGTGCGCCGCCCCGCAGTGTTATAATTAACGCCGGACCGTCCGTCGTGGTCGTCGACAACCGGTGTGTGTGTGTGTGTGTACCGATTATCATCTTCGCAGTACGTAAGAGAGTAAATAAAAAAATATATTAAAAAAAAAAAACGACCTAAGCCGCGTTCAAGAAGTATAGTCGTACGAAAATAGTATAGTGGACGTCCATAATTTGGAGTGACCAAAATATATATTTTGAAAAATTTACTCGAACGATATTTTTTTTTTAATTTTTATTTTTATACATAAATCTGTACGAAAGCCACTTAACACGGTGTGTGTGTGTTTAATTAGTGGCGCTCCGGTGCTGCGAAAGGGAAAGGACGGACACGAGAAGAGCGCGCGCGTTTTGTGCCGTCGCCGCCGCCGCACACCGTCTTCGTCCGTACGTTTGTTCGCGTGTGTTTGCCCCCGTGTGCTTGCGATATCGTGTCGTCAGCATGATGTCACTGTACAGGACCATAAGGGGCACGAGCGGCACCCAGAAACGAGTCAGAGACAGAAGGTGAGTTTACCGAGATCAGTGTATAGTATTATTTAGGTACCCTTCGGGATTGATGGAGCGAACACTGCAATTCAAGAAAAAAATAATACAAAAAAATACCCAGAGCCGTCAAGTCTGGACGACCTTTTAGGGCTGTACGAGTAGAGCTAACAGTATGTTGTCTGTAAAAAAGGTTTTTGATTCGACAAGATAATAATGGAAAAAATTGTTCACAATAATCATTATTATTAATCATTGGATGACACGGCCTTTGTTGAACTTAAGGCATGCAAAATATATTCTACGAGTAGGCAAAGTGTTACTATTAAATCGTAAAAGAAGTCAAATTTGACCACTTGGTGTCACAATGTCATAATATTGTAATATATGAAAGAAGAAATTGAAAAAGTTTCACTTTCTTACCAAACCTTTTTGAGTTTTTTTTTCAGCTGTAATTTCTGACTATTCAATACTAACGGCCAAGTTTGACTTCCTATAAAATTGTATACAACATAGAGTATAAAATTGCAACTAATAACAATAATAACATATCGTCAGCCCATTTAGCAATGAACGTAACTCCAAAATACCAAATTTTACACTAAAAGGAACAATTGTTCACTGTTTATCAAAGATTTCATGGAAAAAACATTGAAATATTATAATCATTATTATACCAGTTGACGCACAGTTTTTTTTCTTTCAATTAGTATAATATACCGAACATTTATTTTTTTGGAGATACGTCCTTTGATAAATAGGCTGACAATATTAAGATATAACATGCTAATCGGGGTAAACTGCTAATAATGCATATTTGGAGGCGAGTGGTAGCGGGCGGCTAAATGTGACCCTTACAGCTTAATGTGAATAAATTTGAATTTTGTTAAATTCTGAGATACATTTACAATTTACGTTCTTAAAATTTTTCAATACAAATTCAGCACTTTTAATTTTCTCTAGGTAAAAAAAAAACGTTTACATTGAACTCGTTTATTTACCTATGACTGTAAAATAAATGAAAAAATCGGTACTTTATAAAGCAGTTTTAAATCTTTTTATAAACGAAAATCGTTTAAAAATATATATATATATACATCATATTATCGGTTTTGGCTTAACGGCTATGATTTTCAATAATATTATTTTTATCTCTAGACTGGGTTCCATTGTATCAGTTCCACATTGTAAAATCATAAAACTCACTAAGTTCAATAAATAAATTTAAAATATTTTTTCTGGGATTAACGCAAATTTGGTGCAATATAGGTATATATTTTTAAATTAAGTTTAATTTCTGGTTTAAGCATTATTACCGAATAATTGACTCGGGCGCAAAGCTCGGTAAAGAAACATAAATAAATTCTTGGTGTTACTACTATCTAGTGTTACTGGGTGACCTATTCTCCAATTAAACAATGTGTTTATGCGTATTTTAGTGGGTCGTTATTACTCTGTATTTTTTATGCCGAGTCCATTAAAGCGTTCATGTATGTTTCACGAGGGCAACCATTATAATGTCATTTCGTGTGTGTAACCTGATGGCCAGGGAAGATTACTTATAGATTTGTCGGAGCCGTTAATTGTTTACGCTGTAGGTAACGATACACCAATCAATCACAATTCACTAGAATGAAGAAAAAAAAGAAACGTTCAACCGATAACTATAATTATTATCATTAGGCGTCGCGGCAAGCAACAATAAAAATACATTATTGATTTTATCAAATAGTCGAATCGCTGTTTAGAAGTTCCATACCTAATATAATAATATAATGTTAAACATTAGGCCGACAACGACAACAAGTGTAATAATGTAAATTATTCTGGAACTTGGCCGTTTGATTGGAAGCTCGATACGTTATGTTATTTGTATTAACTACAGCGACAAAACTATGACTTAGCGTTAATGTGTATTTTGAAATTAAATAAAAATATAGAAATACATATGTTCTAGTCACGGTGCGTTATCATTACAGTGGACTATTGTGGCAATATGGTTTGCTACAGTTGAGCAACACGTTTCCTTATATGTGTGTTACGACCATTCGCGTTAACAACAAAATGGAATTTGTTCTTCAAACGGCTAAATACGCCGAGAACAACGTTTTGAAATACACTTTTGATAAAAAAAATATAAATGTACACATGTAATAATATCGTAAATAGTTAATAGCGATTATAGGGGAAAACATAATAATATGATCTGTTACTGATAGTAATAAAACATTTTTATTGTATTGCGTTGCAAACACTGTGCATAAGTTTTCAAAGTCGTTCGGTCGTTTTCACTTTCCGTCGAACTAGACCAGCGTGTGATATTTTACTTTATATTAATCCAAGCATGGTACGAAGCTTTTGAGATGATGTACACACCTCTATTGAAATTCGACCGAAAGCCAATTGTGCTGAGAGGATTTCCGTTTTGTTTGAAAAACTTGTTTTTCCGTGTTGACACCCTTTTTCTAGCAGAAATCATTAGAAAACGTCGGGAAATCGCGGTCGTCATGAATGAATGAAAGATCGAACGCACGTCTCGTTTTTCATTATTATTACTATTTTTTTTTTATCACAAATAACGCGTTTTGTTTGTTTTTTTTTTTTTTTTGGTGGAAAAACTGACATTTGTCGATAGAATACAACAACACGCCCAGTCATTGTTCACCGCGAGGAGAACGGCGCGTACACGTTTACCTAGTGCCTCAAATAACAATTAAACCGAAGACAAACACAGACGGATCACGTGCATATTAGCTGTTTTTTTTATTTTACAATTGTTTTTCATTTGTGTACAACATGGCAAATTACATCCGACCCCAGCGTGGTGTTGTGTTAAAAAAAATAACACCCTTCAAAACACAGGCTTCTGTCGTCGACCGTTTTTGAGCGTAAAGTCAAAGCAATAATAATAATATAGTAGGTACCATGATTGAAACATACAAGATTTTTGCACAGGTTTCGGGAGACAAAATCAAGTATATAACATTTACACGATAAAATATATAGTGATAGAAAAGTATCTACAGTAAAATTGACATCGCGACATCACCTTACACGCTACTGCCATTTTGTTTAATAAGAAACACTTCCAGACGATGTGCAATAAACCCTATCCTATATTTCAACTATGATAGTTACTACTAATATTTTATCAAAACCTATTGAAAATGATATTATTCCAACAGGAATTCTTAACGCCTTTCGGAATACCAATGTCGAATTGTTAAATCATTATTATTATGTTCATATTGTACTCAACTCACTCTTGTATAGGTTCAACATCCCGGAGCGCGGAAACTAGACGATATTAGGTATTTATTTTCTTCATAATAATTCATTTGTGGCCATTCGCTACGGTCGTGTCTAGTCCGCAGAGACGACACGATTTTGACGTGTGCAGTGCTCGTGTTATGCAAATAAAATATGTATAAAAAAAAAAGGATATTATAACAAATTTTTTCCTCCGTCGTCGATTCGGTTGACAGTAGAATAAATACTATTACGGGGAAATAAAAAAAACGATTCCGGCCCTATAGATGGCACGCGCGTCTTCGGTAAATAATAATAATATTGTGTACCTATGTGTACGATACGAGTGTATTATTATTATTATTTTTTTAAATATATTTTTTACTCAATGGACTTGCCGTGCCTATAAAATGCGCCTGTGTGTGTGTGTGTGTGTGTACGCTTTCCAACATAGTAAAAACACTATCTTGTGTGTGCATAGTATACGATTGTTCCGGTCTGAGAAAACTAACGGCCAAACCGAGTTTAATTGCTCGGCGAATTCAGACTGTGTGTATCGACCGCACGAGCTCATTAAGTATATCATAATGTTATACCTAACTACTGTTGTTGAGTGTTGGGAGCATAGGTATACTTGTTTTTGTTTCTAATCAAAAAATCACAAGCGTTTGCTACCGTTTTTTTTTTTTTTTATTATGCTTTCTCTATCCGGTGAAATACGCGCGGGCGTGCATAATAACATTATGCGAAATTTAAGATTTATTAATTACTTTAACTTGACTGCCCATTATCGTTTGGACAACACACAATGAGCGTACCACACCGAGTTGTACACAGTTTTTTGTTTGATTGCGTTCATTTTTTTTTCCATGTTCTTTTTCGCTTTTTTTCTTTTCCTTTTCTATTACAATTTTGATTATTATTATTATTTCACCGGCGTAGGTACGACGGTAAGTCTGGTTCGTGTAACGTTCCATTTTGCCATTGCGGCCGCGGCGCGTTGGGCTAAAGGCGCGTGACGACGGTGACTTGCACAATGTTACGGCCGGCCAGAGAAAATAATATATATAAATCTCGACGAAAAAAAAAATCCGTTCTAGTATTATGTTTTGCGATATGTTATTATAATAATTTTTTTCCACATTTTCCGTAGATACACATAATACGTGCGTAAGACTAATCGGGTAGAATTCTTATTAACGTACAGCCGCACACGTCGCGTTGAAGTCTCCGGATCGTCGTTTTTGCCGCCAGACATACAAATACTATAAGCACACACACTATACTATGCGTAGGACAAAGGCATCAAAACCAAAATTATGTTATAATAGCGTTGCGTTTATTTCAAGTAATAATAATATCGTTCGCCTTTGGGCAACGTATAAAGGCCATTACAGTACACTGTCTGTCGTTTGTCCTCAAGGTGGCTCTAATTGCTGTGTTGTGCGACAATCCGAAAATAGTTTTGGGAAACAAACACATTAATCGTTAACTTTACCTTGGATACTTGTCGCATTCCCGACGTCGCGGTTGTTTAACCCAATTTTCTTATGTAGTCGACGGCGATCGCGTCATCATTCGACTCGATGAGACATCGTTGCACAGTATAATATTATGTATATTTTGTACAAATATCACACACATGTTTTGTAAAAAATATAACAATTTAAATATTTTTAAAATGTAATAACAAAATTAAATATTATTCTTGAGTAAAACATTTTGAAAATATCAATGTTCCGATTTTGCTTTTTTGGGTACATATTATTGGA